GCCCCCCGGGGGCCCCGTGGTTAGTCTGCTGCACATGCCGCGGGGAGCAGTGTGAGGCGCCTGTAGGAAGCCGGAGCAATTAGCCGCAGCGGTTCGGCAAAGGTCATGCCATCCCCGGCTCCACGGGATTCCTCGGCACTGCATGGTGCAGACTTGGGGGGTCCGATGGGGCAGATCCCCTCCCCAAACCCCCCCCTCTCCCTGCAAAGCACCCTCAGGCAGGCTGCTGGCACTCGGGGGCTTCACGGCTGTTCTTACGGGGCTTAGAGATCACCATCGTCCTGAAAGCCGTAAATAACCACGAGGGGTGGAAGGCACGGGGGACATTTTTGCTTTCGCTCTCAAGTGGAGCCCCGTGTCGGGGTGGTGACGGCGGTGACCCTGCAGGGAGGAGGATGCTCTCTGGGCAGCCCGGCGATGGGGAGCCTCTCGCCCGGCTGGATGGCTTGTGGGCGCAGGCGCAGCACACCCCGCCTGTGATTGACGCCTGCTCGATATAGCAAGTGAAAAACCTCAAAGCGAAACAGTGGCGGAGCTAATGGCACAACAGGATGTTACCAAAATAAAAACACATCACGACCTCGTACCATTTTCTCTATTGCAAACCAGCCTCAGGAACCTCCCTTTCTCAATAATTTAAAGAAAATGAACCCAGAAGCTGCTTTTTCTTCAGCTTTCGAAGGTGACCTTTGCACTTCTGCAAACACAAAGCGCTGGTGGGGCCAGAGCACCAAAGACTCGCCCATATTTGCTCTTTTCTCTCCCCTCATCCACAGCTCCCCTTACCCACCAGTACCCTCCACCAGCAAGCTGGGACGGCACCAGTAACGCCGCGGTACACTCCTCTGCTTCCCTCCGTCCCCCCCGACATGCTCCTGTGCCTCTGTCAGGCGTCCCGCTACGTGTTTTGCAGCCGGCAGCAGTCAAGGATTTCTTTCTGAAAATTGTTTTCATTTTCAAGCAGCTCCTGGCAGTCGGCGCCGGCCAGTTCCCCCTTCTCCTCCCCAGGGGCTGAAAAACAAGCAGGGTGGGACCCGCTCCCTGCCTGATCTCGGGGGGCACAGGCTCCTCCTAGATCTTTTATTTTCATTTTTTTTCTCCTTTTTATTTGCAGCTGGCTCAGCAGCGCTTTTCTTTCTGAAAATTGTTTTCATTTTCAAGCAGCTCCTGGCAGTCGGCGCCGGCCAGTTCCCCCTTCTCCTCCCCAGGGGCTGAAAAACAAGCAGGGTGGGACCCGCTCCCTGCCTGATCTCGGGGGGCACAGGCTCCTCCTAGATCTTTTATTTTCATTTTTTTTCTCCTTTTTATTTGCAGCTGGCTCAGCAGCGCTTGTATTTTCTGCAAGCCATCAAGCCATACCCCGCTGCCCCACTTTGCAGAGGTCTGGTGCCCCACGAGCAGGCGTCTGGGGCAGACCCCCACCTCCCTGCCCCACATCACCCCGCTCTGCCAGCCCTGGGCAAACTTCTGCCTCCCTGCTGCTATTAAAAGCTGATGCTTAGCTATATTTAAAGCATGCCTCTCCTCCAGGGATTATTTCTAGGGTAAAGTTGCGCTCCCAGCCCTGCTGGGATGTTGCTACAGAGCAAGCGAAGGGCTCAAGCCGTGCTTTCCATCTCCCTTCTCTTGGGATATGGGGAGCTCATGAGTTTTTCTTGCCCTAAGGGCATGGGTGAAGGCTTTTTTCCCTCCCCCTGCAGGCTGGTGTTCACGGCTTCTGATTGCTCTCCGCAACCCCATACCATCCTGCTGCCAACATCGGTGGTGGGGTTTGCAGTGCTTGTTTGGGCAGGGCTCCCCGTTTTGCTACGAACTCAGGGTAAACCCAGGGCTGGACGGTCTGGCTCAGCCGCCGTGGCTTCTCCGCGGCAGGAGGACCGGCAGATTTC